AAATTTAGGGTGTCGCCGGTATGGCCGTAAAAAGGTGAAAATTGATAGAAGACACAACACACGACTCACGCACTGTTAGGAAAATAGAAACAAAACAACGCTGTATTTAATTAAGAAAACTAGTTTACATATTACTCGCGCAACCGCTCAATTCCACACATCGCATAACGCACAACCGCTCAAGTCGTTCGCATTTCGCAGACTCCTGTTCGCTCGCCGTTCTCGCTGCGTCTCTGGCTCTTCCCGCGCTTTCTCGCTCTCCTCTGTCGACCACAGATCCGAGTACACATACGCGCACGCTGACACAAACGCGCACGCACCACACACACACACACACACGCACGTGCACAAATTGTTCCACGAAGTCAGTGGTAGAGGTCCGTCGCTTAGCCATTCGGGGAAACAGAGTCGAACGTCCCACAGGCCACGGATGCACAAAGAGACATGTTTCTCTCTTCTTGCACCCGAACTGGCAAGGTGCATTAAAGCGGGCCGCCGCCTTTGTGCTGACCCGGCGCCCGCAGGTCTGGGAGGCCCGCCGATCGCTGCTGCCCGTAAACAAGGAGGACGGCCCCCTCGAGTGACCAACGGACACTCGCACGGCACAACACACGCAAAAAGAAATAAATAAAACAAAACTTGGAAGATTTGAGGCAGTCGCGTACACATTGTAGACCAGTAATGATGAGGGATCTCTTGCAGTAAGAACAATAAGAGAGGTGGGTGATCAATTAACAAAGAAATAGTGCGAAACAGGCGGCTTTTATTTCTTCCTGGCAAAGGGTGGTCAAACTTAAGTGCCGCGCAAATTCAATCTCAACAGTCTTTCGACAAGTTGTAGGAAGTTACCACATTCTACCTGATTATAGCAATCTCTTCTAGCGTGCAAACCAAGAAAAAGTATGCACCTGTGCATACGTTGTAGAAAACTGCAACAGAAGCTCCATCAGTCTCATCTAAAAAGGCGAAAACATAAGTCAGCTCTTTCGTACAGCAGAAATCCTATGCAGCAAAGCATGCCGAAAATCAAAAGGGTCTTTTGTTATTGGACATGATGTGCTTCAAAAAGAAAAAAGAAATACGCGTTTCTTTTGTTGTTTCTGAGGATGGATTTCGTCGACACTTCAAAAATGGCTCCGTGTACTGCCATTTAAGAACCGCTGTTCTGAGCTGCCTGCGTGCGGCTGAAAGGCGACAATACGCCCGAAAACAATACGAAGTGCTACTTTCTTCATTGCACCTTCGTTTTGGGTTTTTTGTGATCTGCAATTAACCAATCATGCTTCATATTCTCGCCTTTAGACCATACCAAGTGCAATGTCGAGGTCCCTGCTCATAGTGCTCGGCGCTAATAAGCGCATAGGAAAAAGTGACGTGAGTACAGGGACTTACGGTACTACGTAACCTGTCAACCAGCTTCCTATATTACTTTTTCTCACTGTCTTTTAATCATATCCCGATGAGAAGTATCCGCCTAGCTAAATACTTTCCAGGTCTATGTCTCATTACTTTTCATTCACAGACACGATGTGCTTGTTTCGATACAACTTAGAAGGCACTAGATTCGGGCTAGTTAGCACTGATCCATAACTTTCGTAAGCGTCAAAGGCACGTAAGTAAAATGAGCGAAGGACATAAGAGAAGCGCACAGGACAAGCGCTTGTCCTGTGTCCTTCACTTGTCTTACGTACGGGCTTTTCGCGCTTACAGAAGTTATGTTTCGATGCTTTTTATAAACAAATTGACCAATTATTTGAGCATGTCAAGCCCTGCCGTGATACCTAACAGGGGGCTAGGACCCCTGTTAAGGCATCTGTAACTCCATTCTCGAACTTTTCTTGGACCTTCAAGAGATATTCAGAAGACTTTATGAGAATAGATCTGATACAATCATCAAAGCAATATAATATTGCTAGGTTTTTTTCATGTGCGAAATGGAGATGAAGCGCAAGAAAGAAACGGACGCGCAAGGAGTAAAAGACGTGTGCAAACAGTACACGGAGTGTTTAGTTACACTGACATCATAATGCGCGGCTATACAAGTGAGCAAGACAACTTAAGAAAACATTTGAAGGGAAACCTTGCATGCACCTACCGCCGTCACTCTTTTTATCCCTGGCAGCAATGCTACGCATCCGCAGGCGAAGCAAAGAGCTTAAATGAGATATCACCGGCTAAAACTTTCTTTCCTTTGTCACCTAAACATTTGTTTCAAAACAATTCTACACTGGAGAGTAGTCTACAACGTGTGTCCATGTATCTTACGCCGCACGTGCGCCAACCTATAATGCCCTCAATTTGTATTGCCGCATTGTTTGCTTGGGCTCCAACACTTGTTTGGCTGTGAAGCTACATGTTTTACCAGAAATGTGCGGGCAGACATCCCGTGAACATTCCGTGAAACAGTCCGCGAAATGAGCGAAACATTTCATGTGTGCGAGTTGCATGTGCCCTTTGTGTATGAATTCTTATACGCTTATTCAACATAGCAGTAATGTGAAAGAAGGGTCGCATGTGTAACATACTTGGAGAAAGAAAGAGATATGCAAATGAATGATATACAAATATTAAACAGGCCCACTGGAAGGTAACTATGCAGTATGCTTCCTCGCGCTTAAAAGCCGGTAACTGCGGACATAACGATTAAATATGGCTCACGGGGAAAGTAAGCGTTTTCTTTATCATGCTTTTCGCGCGGATAGAAAGAAAGAAATATTTATTCATACAGAAAAGCTGAGAGATCGGCCTGAATCCAAGTTCTAGCCTGCTACTCAGCGTTAGGAAAAGGGAGGGAATAGGAAAGAAAGTAGAGAGAGAAAATGATGTTGATGATGGGGAAGGTGGCGACGAAGCAAGACGTTTGATAAATTTATAGTCTCTTGTCAAGTTCTGTATCTCTTAAAAACTTGGTCAGTCCTTTCAGGATATCGCGCTGATGACGAGGTGGTGGTCCCAATAGAAAGTTTTTCAGAAACTTGCTGCTTGGTACACTTCATCAAGACGGTGCTTTTCGCGCAGAGTAAAAACAGGGCTCAATATATAAAAACCCTTCGTCAGACCACAACGTTCATATAGGGATGGTTTACTAGCGAAGCCGAACTCACGTGTCTGCCATACGCCTGTCCAATTGTTTCTCTGGTGGGAGCGACTGCAGCGTTCTTCTTCGGACTCCGCTTGTGCACCGTTTCTTCTCTGTTGAACGGCCCAATATCTGCGTGTATTTGCTTTGCTGCTGTCGACGCTTCTCCGCTTATTCAGCTTTTCTATTCGGCGTGGGCGCGCTGCGCCATCTCGCATCTTCGTCCTTCCTGATTTCTCACAGTGCTGTACGTCCTACATGCCACTACACACCGCCGAGGCAGTTGCCGCTGCGTAAGTGTGCTGCGCCAGCTGCGTCACACAAACTTGATTGATTGATTTGTGGGGTTTAACGTCCCAAAACCACCATATGATTATGAGAGACGCCGTAGTAGAGGGCTCCGAAATTTCGACCACCTGGGGTTCTTTAACGTGCGCCCAAATCTGAGCACACGGGCCTACAACATTTCCGCCTCCATCGGAAATGCAGCCGCCGCAGCCGCGATTCGATCCCGCGACCTGCGGGTCAGCAGCCGAGTACCTTAGCCACTAGACCACCGCGGCGGGGCCGTCACACAAACTTGTTTTCTACATTTATCTTTGTCTACGTTTGGACATGAGCCTTCCAGAGCGTTGGGGAAGCATTAACTAGAGGTAAATGGCTTTGCTGTAAAAACACTACCCCATGCCTGATCTTCCCCGAAACGATGGGTAAGAATTTATTTTTTTCTTCAACAATGAAAGTGCTGAATTAAACGGCCAAGTGCGCAAAATGCAGTCATAGCTTAGTGCGAAATAAAGAACAGCTAACAGTGAATTAAGGAAGATTTAACCGGCATTCGAAGGTTTGCAAACAAATTATCTTCTTGTACACGCACATCCCTCTGACGTCACATTTTGAAACGTCAAACGGACCTCGTTGGCTTCTTTCAAGAGATTTGGGGCTGCATTCGCACACCTTGTAGTGAGTGCAATTGGTCAGCCGACTTCGTTTATGATAGAACCATTCATAAGCGTACGCGGCGTTCCCCTTAAGGGAGGGGGGAGGCGAAAGTTTTTAGCAGTTCCATTCTGTCCCTATTGTGCTAAATTATGGAGCCGACTTCGACCCCCATCCCCCTCAATGTCACAGTGCCCTTCCCCCAGTTATGTCAATGTATGGGGCTGGAAAAAAAGTTCACTTGCAGAGCCACAATAAAGCGGAATCATTTTCAGGTTGTAACCGCTTATGCGGATTGCTGTGCGGTCACATTTTACGTTATCTTCCTCGATTTTAAGTGTACAAGCCGAAGGCTGGACAACTCAGCATTGCCGACAGTTGCTGAATGTATCACTATAGACGCTGCACTTCTTATACAGAAAAGGCATCGTGCCAGTTATGTACGAGGGCATTCATACGAACTCAATATATGCGTTTTCTCGGTTATGTGGTTATGTAGTTATCTATGAGCTACAATAACTTTTTTTACAAATGGGTATATCAAATGAAACTTTTCCTTAGTTTGATTGGACAGGAAGAACTGGCTCGATAGACAGATATTTTATGGCAGCTGTTTATTGACCTCAGGCTCATTTTATTAGATCGAGCAATATATACACTGGTACTGCAGTGTAGTCCTAATGAGTCTTTAGCGCAAGCTTATGTACCGTGGAGCGAAGAATCACGTGGTATTCACGTGATAAAATGCACGATGCACAGTCAGGAGGAAGAAAGACCGCACATGCTCATACATTTTTAAGAGCGTCTGTGTATACTGCGAGTGTAAATACGTCTTTCAATTCTTTATTTTACATGACTCGACGAATGCTAAACTTGTCATAACTTCAGTCGTCAACTGAAAAAAAAAAAGCTTCTATGTGGGCTGCAGTCGTTAAGCGATACTGCCGCAACAACAGCTGTTCCTGTATGCTCACTCTTACAGGGTCAGAAGTCCAATGGCGAGTTTATGGTTAAAACCGAAGCAGACTCATGGACCTCTAGGAAACTTCAGCTAATGGACGATGTAAGTGCCACTCACTGCTTTCTCTTTTATGTGCCCTGCAGATAATCGGTGCTCCCGCTTGAGAACAGTGTGAACTATTTTTGTTGCATGCAGAAAATATAAAAAACAACCGTAAGGTTAATCACCGTATTGACATTTTGTAGTCCGGAGACGAGAGATAATCCCTCACACAAACATCGCTAGAATAGAACGCACACTAAATCCTTTATTGCTGTTAAATAAAATTACTTTGAATCTCTGGTGCGACGCACAACCACTGCGGTCAGTGTAAGCCATTGACGCATCGCGAAAAACTCCAAAATAGTGTGGTGGTTGTTCAAGTGACACCTTCACATGTGCGCCCATTCTCTAGTGTCCAATTCGTTCAGCTTTATGTTCGGTTACTTTGCGTTTAAAGTGCAGATATGGTAATACCTACGTTTGAACATCAGCAAACATCTCACACAAAGATGTAATAAGGCCAGCAGTTATTTCTCCCTACATATTTTTTTTCCTAGGCTTTCCTTCCGCACCAGCTGAAATCGGACAACGATGTCATATTTCTTTCATAACAGATGTTTAATTAAACGATAATACACAGTTAAGATACTCCCTCATACAAAATTTGAGCGCAGTTACACGCGTTGCCGCTTGACAACATACTGAGGCAAACAACTTGAGAGATGTATGAATGTACTCTCTGCGTTAAAGGAAACTCTAACAGCGGCAAGCCTTCGTGATAGTATAGTGCGCGCCGTCCACTTATCATCATGGACAGGCCCGCATGTATGCGCAAAGCTGTCGAACAGAATGCACACGCCTATCAGTTGTGATAACTGGACGGCATGCATTATACCGTCGCGAAGGCTATCCACTGTTCGGGTTTCATTTAACACTGATAGTACACACAGGTACAGACAACTCTACTCTCCACCCTTCTCCGAGGCACCGGTCGGTCATGAAGAAGGCTTATGGTCAAGCAAATTATTGGCATGTATTAGCTTAAGGGTGCTTTATCCACCTTGAAAGCTTCACATGTACCATGAGGATCAAAACGTGGAGGCGATGCGCGTTAGCATCATTAGTATGCGTTTTGGTCGCAGTCGTCAGTGCGTGCACCGGCTCTGCCTAGATGCCTGGAGGGCAAAGTCATCTGATGGCATCGAAAGAAACCACACTGTCACACCATGTGACTGCGTTCTGAGCTATAAATGGCGAATGTACACTCGAGGTGCTTTTTTTTTTGCGATGCATGACGAAGGATGAGGCACATTGACGCTCAAAGCAGGCCCTGACACCTAGGGTCTGTGTTCAAAAAACAGCTCGAAGACTTCATAAGTCACTGCTGTCGTTTTACTTGGTTGCTGTCTAGTTATGAATGGTGAACTGTACTTCTTTGCCTCTCAGTCACCTGCGTGGCGAGGCACCCGGTCACTAGGAAATAAGAAAACGTAAAGTATGTCTTCGTGATTTAAGTCTCACCACGATGCCAGTTCTCCGTTTATATTCATGCTTGACGTTTCACTGTCCGCTCCTAAAGCTAGCCGCTAGCACCAAGTCTAAGTAACGAGTCATCGCTAAACCTGCAACGACAGCTGGGACCAGGTCACTCGTATTTAGCCGCTTTATGATTACTAAACTAAGAAGGCGTGCACATTTAATTAAGTCTTAGGGTGTATTGTGTTCAAAGAGATACAAAACGATCTATCGTTTTTCAATCGTTGCTTGGCCAGAAGAGGACATCACTTTCTCCTGCTCAGGTACTTTCATTGTTTTGCAAGCATTCGTGTAATTTTGCAGGGGCAGTCATCTGCAGTAGCTTCCTTGTGTCATGACTGATGGGTGCAGATAGTGTGGCTCACTAGATAACCTGTCAGGATTTCGCTTTCGTGCAGGCCATGCCGGAATCGGAAGCCCACAATCGACGGTGGCGCTGCCTGGCGGCAGCGCCACGGTTTCACTACGCGGATATGTCCTCAGGACCCGAAGACCCGGACAACCGGTATCGTATGCAGAATCTGGTAAGAAATGAACCACCACACTACCAGGACGTGACATACTTCATGAGACCATTTACGCTATTTAAAAACACCTCACTTATTACGATGTGCAGTGTACCTAATAAGGTCGGAATGATGAGCAAGTATTTGTTGTACCATATATGAGTACCAGATGAAAATTCGTGACTCGTATCACTTGTAGGGACTGAACGTCGAGCAAAGCTGCTTATTAATAATATGGGTGATATCGTTGCTGTTCCAGTATTGTGGAGAACGTCGCTTACATTTAAAGACAAAAATATACCTTGATAATAGATTAGCGCTTACGCGCTTACCGGAAGCTATAACTTTGTGACAACGCCAAAAAAGTTCCGCCGGAGCAGCTGAGATCGCAAGGTGTCGGCGTGTACAACAACTAAATCTATATTAAAGGACACTAAATCTAAAGACCACACGCAAGCATATATTTACAGGTACCTCAAAGAATCGTAGGCAGTCCAAATTAACCTTAAGTCTACCACACCGGCGTGTCCTACAATGGTGTTGTTCTGGCTCATAAAACTCCAGCAATTAGAAATAGTTTTAAGAATACATAACTAAGTTACTGCAAAGTCAGGTTGATGTCGTTACTAGTGGCATCATAACTTGGCCCTAATTACACATACATTAGTTTGCAATCTTTCTGCTCTGGAGCAGGCTATGTTCAGCGGACTTGGAGATTCTTCAAAGCACATGCAGAAAACATAGAACCCATTTTGTTACTAGGACGCTTCGAATATATCTTGAGAATGTTTTTCTTTTCTTTTTACATGACCTTATCCTTTCTACCATTAGGTGGATAGGTCAGTGTACTTGTCTCATGGGCTCACATAACTTGTGAGGCTAACGCCAATAAATACGGGCACTTGCGTTGAGTACTTCGCCAATTAAGCTCATTCTTGACGCACTTGTTTTAATCAAAATATGTTGTATCACACTACCATATATATTAGGTTTACGGATGAATTCAATTATCGCATCAATTTCTCTGCTTCTCTCCGCACGTTTAGCAACCGCTGAGTACGTCAGAATGTTGAGGTGGATTTACATGCCAATGTAAAACTAAATTATAGAGTTGGCATACCAAGACTCCGATAAAGTTATCAAGCACTGGTTATCAGGCGTGATTATCTGGTGTGGTATCAGGGGCGGCTATCAGGCAGTGTCCTGCAGGGATTCCTTAACGTGTACACAAATTGAAGTCACTGGAGGTCTTGCATTTCACGTCCATTAAAATGCGGCTGCGGTGGCCTGGAATTGAAAGGCGATCTTGCTTTGAGCAGCTCAATGTTATGGCCACTAAGTCCCCATAGGAAGCATCAACCTGGAAATATTAGCTTTTGCTGAAACATTTGAACCTCCACTGATGCTATATATAAGCCACAATATTAAATACTATGGATACACCCAATGCCGTTGATGGATCAACCTGCACGTAATACCATATTAATCTAGAAACACAGATGAAACATTCTGAGCGTTCAAAAATCTATTACAGGGCAACTTCTTTCCCGGCCTCGAAGAAGCCGGCCTGATGGGCCGTGCCGAGGCGCTGGTGGACATTAGCAAGCATTCTCCTCCAACGGGTGCCGCGGCTGGGCTTCCCATCCGGCATGACATGATGTACCACGCGATGGGGCCTCCCGGAGGACCAGGGGCGCCCGGCGCACCTCCCACGTCGCGACCGGGTCCGCCCCATCACCAGATGGGACACCACCCTTCCACAATGGACGGTAAGAGACACCACCTCGCTAGTCATTTTCATAATCCCGTGTGTTCCTTTGATACGACGATAAACTGAGTTTACAGCAGACCTGTTGCGCCCGAGGCTTTCCTTGCGTCGTATATGCAAGATTATCATCATCACGAACGAACGGGCATGCGCTCTCTCTGTCCTCTTCTTCATCGCCCTCAGAGTTTAAAGCCGGTCACCCTGGTAAAGGGTGACCGGCTTTAAACTCTGAAGCTACGATAATCACGTGTTATGACACGCGACAGCTTGTAAAACGCAACATTACTGCAATATTACATGTTTTATTGTTAATGAGCCTGCATACAGAAGATGTATGTTTGTAAAGCATGAAAGATGTTTTCACTGCATTTTCAACGAGAGGAAGTTATTTTGACTGTACAAGGAGACGCGTGGCATTGTGGTAGAACAGCTGCTTGCCACACAGACGGCCTGGGTTCGATGCTCACTCAAAGCCGGATATTTTTATCATTTATCTTATATGCATCTTTCTCGAATTTTCAGTAACAAACAGGATGATGCATTTTCGCTCAAAACCAACGACGCCTACATCGACGCCAACGCTGTAATTTCGGCGAAACGAGCACTTCAGTGCTATCGAATTATAGTGATAGAGCAAGACTAGTCATGTAGAGTATAGTATAGCAAGGAGTGGGAAAGAGAGGTTAGAGGGTAGAAGCCTAGCCAAGTCTCCAAGACCACCTATGCTACTTTTTTTTTACAAAAAAGGCGAGAAAAAACTGGGCCTAGCTTGCACAAGTAATGCAAGGGTAGGCTAGAGACACCACGAGGCTGGTCAGCACCTAACTGGACCTGACCTTTCGAGGTTCCGCTAAGTTTTTACTAAGTTTTTCGAGATTGGTATAGTTTTGCTAGACGTTAAGATTTTGCTATGTTTTTTTAGGCATAATGTTTTTGCTAACATAATATTTTTTCTATCCATTGCCATGTTTTCTTAGATATAACTAAGTTTTGGTTAACTGTTTCTCAGTGTTGTGATGGGATTCCCGCACTCGCCAACTTCCACTCAACCACTCTAAGCTAGCATTCACCCTCGGCAAGTGCCCCCGCATTAGGGACGAGTGCCGCATTGACGGTTGGTATCCAGTAGTGCTCATCTTTGGTACAAGAGCAGCTCGGCATGGCTGGGTGGTGCCATAGCTAGGCTAGTGAAGCAAGTGCGCAGGTATGAACAGATGCGCTAGGGGTTGCTAGGCAACACTAGGCGATGTAATCGATCCGCGAAGTTTTTTGTCCACGGCAAACGAACTAACGCTTAGTTTATACAGCTCTGCTGTTTAAAAAAAAGCGTCACTATCATTGCTTGTTTTCGAGAGGTCACACGCGAATTTCACGTTAATCAACTTAAATCAAATAAAGAGCTAGGTGAGCAACTCGTCAGATAAATTGGATCTCTCAACGGAATAAAAGTACGATGTTGGGTGGAGTTGGAGTGCAGTGTAGCGATGTGATATTTGTAAGCACTTCTTGTGCAGTTAAAATGAGTCCATCGGTGCTTTAAAATCAGGTATAGTTCAACACTAACTTCAAGTGTTAGCCGCGACGTACATGTCACGGGATACTAGGAAAGAAATATACTCTTTCCCGTAAAGTTTAAGGAGTGATGCTACATATAAATCAAGAGGAATCACGGCAGCAATAAATTAGTAAAGTTATCTCTTCAATTAAAGTTTGGAAGCATGACACTGAATTATCCCCAGGTCCACACAGTTAAACAACACGCTTCTCTCGTTACTACTGTAAGTCACTAGAGGGTACGGACGCATGCAGCTGCTGCAAGTAAACAACCCTTCAGAAGCCAGTACAGGAACTTAGTTCACAAACTACTTTGTTGTTAAATGTTGTTTCCCACTGGGTGGCCAGTTTCGCTACTGATACCCCGAGAATCACGTCTGACTGAACATATTTGTTCCGAACAATCTTAGTGTAAGTACGCTTTATGAGGTCAAGCTTAAATATTTTCGATCCAAGTGTATATTACATACACGCGTGGATTGTTTTAGGGGCGAAGCTCCTTAGGGCGTGGGCTGTGCGTCCCCTGTATGTAGCCACCTCTAGTTTATTTCTTGCAGTGTTCACTAGATGGCGGTACTGTCCCCTGTATGTAGCCACCTCTAGTTTAGTTCTTGCAGTGTTCACTAGATGGCGGTACCATCTCCTGTATGTAGCCACCTCTCGTTTAGTTCTTGTAGTGTTTACCAGATGGTGGTACTTGTAGCTGATGATGAAAAGATGCAAGATGTTAGAAACTAGAAAGCGGTACTTGTAGTTGATGAAAGACGCGAGATCTTATAAAATAGGAATGATGTCACATATGGCGCGTGTCATTGGTTGAAGGCAATCGTTCGATTTAGTGCGGCGACGTACGCTAGGGGGAGCGATGTAATAAAATCGAGTGGGCAAAATGTACAGAGGATTCATGGTTTACCAGGTTTACCTCCGGAGCTTCGCCCACTCATCATCATTCACTTCGTGGACATGGCGGCACTTTTTTTGTTTTACAATGCTTGAACGGCACGCAGGTATGGATCTTCTCGACCCGCTGTGCCCGTCGTCGCTGCCTGGCCCGCTGGGCGCCATGCAGGGCCCTCCGTCCGCGGACGCCGTGGGCCACCAGCTGCCGCCCCTGTACGGCATGCACGCCGGCGGGTTCCCCGGCTCGGCCGTGCACGACGCCGACTCGGACCCGCGCGAGCTGGAGGCGTTCGCCGAGCGCTTCAAGCAGCGGCGCATCAAGCTGGGCGTCACGCAGGCCGACGTGGGCCGCGCCCTCGCAAACCTCAAGCTGCCCGGCGTGGGCTCGCTCTCGCAGAGCACCATCTGCCGATTCGAGTCGCTCACGCTGTCCCACAACAACATGGTGGCCCTCAAGCCCATCCTGGGCGCCTGGCTCGAGGCGGCCGAGGCGCAGGCCAAGAACAAGCGCACCGACCCGGACCTGCCGGGCGTGCTGCCGGCGGGCGAAAAGAAGCGCAAGCGCACCTCGATCGCGGCGCCCGAGAAGCGCTCGCTCGAGGCCTACTTCGCCGTGCAACCGCGGCCGTCGGGAGAGAAGATCGCCGCCATCGCTGAGAAGCTGGACCTGAAGAAGAACGTGGTGCGCGTCTGGTTCTGCAACCAGCGCCAGAAGCAGAAGCGGATGAAGTACTCGGCGGTGCAGCACTAGCGGCTCCGGTACGAGGCGGCCGCGAGGCTCGCCACGGACGTGCAGTGGTGTGACGATGACCCGGCCGCACCGCCAGCCGCTTTGCGTTGCACGCCCGCGCTGGAGATGGCCTGCTTCGGTGGACAGGCGGTAGCTTGTCAGCAGGGAAACTGCCAGCAGAATGCCAGGACGAAACTTGTAAGCCCGTTCTAAACACGGGGTATAAATGCGAAAGGGAAAGCTGAAGTGTGGCCACGCCGTAACTCATGACTCAGTGACAAGACTTACCGCTTTAGTTTCTTTCATCCCCGTCAAATCTTTTGGTTCTCATGCAGGCTCTTGTTGGCAACTCTCGTGATGAACGCGAATAACACTCAGTCTTTTTTTATAATGCATCCCGTATCTACAGACATTACACCTCGGCGCGAACGTGCAAAAGTTTACATATGATGGTGGAGCGCCACGGCATCTTCAGATACTATGACAATTAATGTGTTTGTTTACCAAATAATATTGTTTAAATTCTAGAAGATCCCACTATTCTTTCTCCACAAAGCGAATGGGTTTTGTTATCAGCTCATCTAGATCTTTTGTTCTCGTTGTGCAAAAGCAATTTTATCTGAAATATGAAACGTGGGCCACGTAGTGAATCGCGGTATTAAGAAAGCTCAGCTCACTGGATTCCAGTCGAAATGGGAAGGTTCAAACGGATTACGACACGAAATCTGTGTTCTGCGGCAGCCATCTCCAGTTGTGCCACGGTGAGCGACAGCCGAACAAAGGAGCAAAAACGCAACGCCGACAACTACGAGACTTCAAGCAGAGGACTGAATGACTGCAGCTTGTGCTCGTGACGGTGACATGGAACTTCTAGGCTGGTGCAACAGCGATCATACGGCGCCAACGTGTGCGCACTTTCTAGTCGATCCAGCCGAGTCCGGAGATCTCTCCCATCCTGTCGGCCAAAGCGTGTACCGAGCCGTGAATACACCACGCTTCTCCTTCCACGCGGAGCGTGCTGGCACGAAGAATGTGCTTTCAAGCTGTCGTTCCCAGAGCCGACAGTGTGCTGTCGTGAGTGAATGACTCTGTTCTTTACGTGTCGCCTCTGATGTCACCCTGGCCCAACTTGGGTTCCCTGCCTGTCGTCCCATTTCACGCAAAAAGTTCAGTGTTGCGATTGTGTGTTTGTACGCGCTACGTTTTAATTTGTTAAAGTGGGAGTGGTATCGTTTTCGGCCTTGTGGAGCCGGTGGGATTAACGGAAGCGGTATTGGTAGGAAGATGCAGCGCATACCAACACCGTCTACAAGAGAGTGAACGTATCTCCTTACGTCAACATGACGTCATGCGTGGGACGTTAACCTATAGGTGTATTCTGCGTTTGTAAACATAGCTAGGTCGTCGACATGCTGAGGTCATCAACATGCATAATTGTCACGTGCTTGCACACGGCGGTGGCAAGCTTTGGGCTGGCCGGAGCCTACGCGCCATGACGTCACTACAAACGCTTCAGTATGTCACCGCCGCCTACCCCTGTTTACAAACATGTAATAGGCCTACACTTAATTCAGCGTTACGACTGCCGTGCTCTTCCAGCAACGAATCAAACACCATTGTTCCGGGATATGCCGACAGTCGTCAAACCTGTCTGTATTCGGCGAAGGACTTAAGATGTATTCGGCTGAGGTCTTAAGAACATACGAGGCACTCAATCTCATCTTCACGTTGCTGAGTAGACATTACGGGGGTTGATTTTCTAAGCATTTCTGACATAGTGCCTAGCGGAACACGCCAAGCCTATCAGAACTGGTCATTTGCCATTGTTTCGAGAATTTTAGAGGGGCCTGCAGTTACTCGTATAGTTCCTGGGTGCTCGTTACTGTCACCAGAAGAAATACGCGTCTGAAAATAAAAGTCTCACATGAAAGTTAGACATAAGGTTTGTGATCATCACAATGTTTGTTCGCTTTTGAGAGTATAAATGAATGTGCTATCTGTGGGTGCTTTCGAATTATGAGTACGTTGTCTTGGCTTGATATATTTGACCAAACATGCGTATTGTTTAGGGTCATATTGGCTTATATTATAGTGAACTAGAATACGTTCCGTTATGCGTTAAGAGTTGCAGAGCACTTCAGACGCACGCAAAAAGGATCAAAAAGAAAAAAACAAACGATACCATGAACGAACCGTAGTTATGCCCCCTTTTATTTACCGTTATCCCACTGGTCAAGCTCGGACACGCAGGTACTATTAAAAATTTCTTATAAAAATTATATAACATGGTTTGCAGAATAGGTTCCGAACATCGGCGGTCATACCATCTTATCCTTATAATCTTAAACACCATTTTAACACCCGATATCTCTCGCGGAAACTGTTCAGTAGAGTACGGCTTTCTTCTTCAATTTTTTTCCGCTTCACGACAATGGAGTGGTTAGCATAGTGCAGTTGAACTGTTTACCAGGGTCAGTGGCGCGCGCGTAGTGAGAGTGGTGTATAAGAATTCCTGGTGGCGAACGGGCGCTGTTTTATGCACGAAGTCGTCAGATAAAACCAAGAGATGTCAGAACACATATCAGCGACGTTGTAGCTATAGGATTTGAAATGGTTTGGGCGTACGTGTCTGTATGGTGAAGGTGGAGCAGAATAATAGAACCACTTTGACCTTAAAGCAGCTCACACTAAATTTAAGTCATGATGCGTAGGCTTACACCGTGGAATACGAGGTTATGTAGCTAAAGCTCCTGCTGATCTCGAAGCCATTACCATGCAGGTCTTTGCTGAATGCTTCAATAATATTGCAGGCGTAACCGCAATTACTGTCAGCAGGTGCAGCGGTTTTTAAGAGCAGCTATAATATATTGCCACCTGGTGTTCTGTGCCAGTGAACAGTGAGCCAGTTCTGTGCCAATGAACGAAGAAGACGAGCAACCCGTGCCAGCGGAGGCGTCCTTTTTTGTGTCTCAGATTTTGGCAGTCGCGTCTCCTTGTACGTTTCTTCGAGCTCCTAGCGCGTGACAACTGGTGGAGGTGCTGGAGTACCCTATGCACCGAACCCCTCCCAGTACAAGCAGCTCCAGCCCCATACCGGTGGTTACGCCTGTTCACCGTGCTAGCCGAAGGATCCGTGGACCCCGAAGGATCCCCGAGTTCAGACTTCTCTCAGAGAGGATGATGGCCCCAACTATCCCAGGCTGCGCCGTCCTAAGCGGCTCCAACCCAGCCGGTATGGAAGGCGCAACGCCATTGCAATATACGCTGTTCAAACCACGAACACCGAATCCCTTTCATGGTGTTGTCCATGAGGATTTTGAGGATTGGCTAGTCTACTATGACTTCGTTGCCGCTCATAACATGTGGAAAGACACAGAACAGGCTCACTGTTCAATGACACAGAACACCAGGTGACAATATTATCTGCAGTTTTACATCCAACAACCACGATATGATTATGAGAGACACCGTAGCGGAGGGCTCCAGAAATTTCGACCCTGTGGTGTTCGTTAACGTGCGCCGACATTGCACAGCACTTGGGCCTCAACCACTTCATGCACCTTCACCGAAACGCGACCACCGCGGCGAGAATCGAACCCGCGACCTTCGTCTAAGCAGCAGAGCTCTCCAATCCACCGTGGCAGGCATCAAGCGCAGCTAATGTCAAGAAAGAAATCGTACTAATGTTCATAAAACGAACGGAATAATTTGGCTACATGTTCTAAACTCCCTGTTTCATATATATTACCCCGTATGATGCATACCAACTTACACAACTGCAAATGATAAAATGCTGGACAAGTATACCGTGGCCTCATCCCAGCAGCAAATAGACAACGAGGATTATTGTGGCATGAATACCCCCCCCCCCCCCCCACCCGAGTTTTTCCTCTCTCAGCATCTTTCTAGTCTTGAGCAGCTCTAAAGTGTATACAGTAGTCAATACTGAGGAAAATTCCCCATGACTGAACATTTTGAAAAAGTAACGCAACCTCGTAGCAATGTTCTCTGCTTACAGTGTTAATTATCGAACGTATATACGTGTTAAACAGTGCTAACCTTCACAAACCATTGAAAGTGATCGTGTGATAAGGTTAGGGCTATCGTCATCAGCGGCCGAGGCAGCCGCATTTAGATGGAGGAAATATGCTAGAGGTCCATGCGCTTAAATTTAGGCGCCCCGTAAAAGTAAACCGTGTAATCGAAATTCCCGAAACCCTTATTTACGGCATCTCTCATAATAAGGGGGGGCTTTGGACCGCGAAACACTAGCAATCATTATTATTATCACTGCTTTCCGAGCGTAAATAAGTTTGTAGAAGAGCCACCGCGTAGAATGGACAAGTATTGCGGTCGCATCGGTACCAACTGAATGAAACGTTCCAATTCAGCTTCACATCCGCAATTCGCAAAGCTTCTTACCCGTAAAGTTAGGCTTCCGTAGGTTGTCGTTTAGCTTTGTCTTTTAATTCGCGACAAACGGACACACCAGTCGACTCTGCATTGAGACATTCACCAACATTACTTAACAGAGATAGAGAGAGATAAACTTTATTAAAATAATCATCCAGTTTTTGAAAGACCCCCGAAAGTAGTAGCGACGTCACTTATAGTACCTTTGTTAGCACCCGTTAATGAATTTGAATCCGCAAGACACACGAAGCAGCACTTCGTCACTGGTCAGTGCCGCGGATACATACAGGCAAATCTGGACAGCTAGATATTCAGTAAAAATGAACCGTCCAATCACAAATCACTCTGACGTACGAGACGTGAATAAGCGACGGCCAAAACTTCACGAGTAACATGCGAGCATGGAATGAGCATGGTTTTTTTTTTTTTTTTGAGTGGATGAAATATCGTCAGATGACACTACCCGCGAGTCAACTAACAAGTATAGAAGCCAGCAGGCGTGAGAAATAATGACATGCTGAAATCAAACGACTGGAGAGACAACGTACGACGGTGTTCATTGATCGAAGAATCCGGAGCTTTGTGATGCGCTGGAGTGGTCGCCATGA